CTAAATCTAATTAAGTTGTTTTTATAAATATATCGCGTAACTGAATTGATAAACTTATCTTCTGTTAGTTGCGAAGATTGATCTTCCAAAATGCTCATTCTTTCAAACAGTTCGGGGTCGGGGATTGATGTTTGCATGTCTTCATCCGATTTTTTCTCTGATATCGACATTATAAGTGGTGTATCCTATTTAAATATTTATAACATTAACTCGTAAATACGTGCCAAAGAAAACGTTTTTTGTTTTTTGAAAAAAAAAAAAACCTCAATATCGCTAACATCATCAATCAATTCCACATTTGTAAATATATATATGTGTCAAAAAAAATTTTTTTTTTTTATTACAAATTACCTCTTTATCACTAACATCATAGATCAATTTCATATTGTCTTCATCCAATCTTTCTTCTAATTTCGACATTATAAATGGCGCTTCCTATTCGAATATTTATAAGCAAATAAATATACATATATGTCAAGAAACAACGTTTTTTTACAAAATATAGTCTACCTTCGTTATAACGTAGTATAAACTCTGTCCGTTATAATGAATATCCGCTATAGCGCTATATAATATATTACTACATTATAACTAAATATTCGTTATAACGAGGGTAGACTGTACCCCTTTTTTTCAAAATACCTTATCGCTAACATTATTAGTCAATTCCGCATTGTCTTCATCTGATTTTTCCTCTTTATCATTGTCTTCATCCGACTTTTTCTCTTTATCATTGTCTTCATCTGAACTTTCCTCTTCATCACTAACATCATCAATCAATTCCGCTTCGTCTTCATTCGCTTCCTATTCGAATATTTATAGACAAATAAAAATTCGTATTAACTTGTAAATATATGTGATGTTAAAAAAAAATGTTTTTTTACAAAATACCTCGTCATCGATAATATTATAAATCAAAGTCATATCGTTAGGAGGCAGAATAAATGGTTTAGAATAAACATCTCTCATTAACGTAAGAATTTCAAACCATCGAAGGTACTCCACATTAGGATCCTTTATGACATCTAAAAAGGTAAACATAAAAATATAAATAAATCAAACTTGATATATAAAAAAAAACATAATTAAATACAGTATAATAATAGTTACATATTTTTCCTGTGTCAAAAATAATTTCCCTTTTTCCATTAAACACATTTAATCTTCCAATAACTTTTACAAGTGTCCCGAGATCAAACTGTGGATTATCTATATATTTATTATGTCTTCCGCCTTTTCCTTTTTCTCCGAAATTTACACAATCGATCAAGCCTGATCCATCTTGAACTTAAATAATAACTACTTATAAGCAACGCGAGTATATATATGTAAAAAAGTAAAACAGAATATTCACAAGTTCATCTTACCCGTATATCTAATAATGCTACCTCTTATAATATCAATACCAGTTATTGGCGCAATTATTTCAACTTTCTTAATTGGATGATTTTTAACAAAAAAACTCTGGACGGTTCTGGAACCTATAAATAAAAAAATCTATTAAAATCTAATAATTAATAGAGCACTTGGCACAAAAATGTCAAACAAACCTTCCGTAAACTGAATCCTCTTAAGTTTTAATAAACTTGAAATATACAGTTTTATATTTGTATGATAAACGGGATCCAAATACCAAAACCTTGGTGAAGGGTAAGGGTAAATTCTCAGTTGAGTTTCAGTAACAAGGGAAGACATTTTTTTTGTATGTATGTTCTTAAAGGTAAAGTACACGTACGTATCTGATATGTACGTAGCGAAAAAATCTACGTACCGTGTTTACGTAAACGTCATAGAAAGACATTCATAACAACACCCCGACAAATTCTGCAAAACGTGACCACAAGCCAATCACAGTTGAAGATCAGGTGTAACGTAACACAATCCAAAAAATTAAAAACAACCGTTCTTTTTGCCAATAATCGCCCATAACTCAAAAATTTACATAGGAAACCATCTTTAGTGTTCTAACAAAAAGTTTTCCATGAGCGATTTTACTATATATTAGATAATAACAAACACTAAAATAATCGCTAACCCCAGTATTAACAACTTTTAAGAGGTTTATTATCGCAGAATTTTCGGGGTGTTGTTGGCAATGGACTATGTCCATTGAGGGTCCGTATTGATTCACCGACAATCACTTCACCGACAGCTTATTTAGACGACATCACGCCTATACCTGCAACTAATGAAATGCTTAACCCTAACCCTATGTGATGTTGTTCGGTGAAATGATTGTCGGTGAATCGAAGGGGTCCCCGTCCATTGAAAATAAGGTTGTCAATGGAACTCAATGGACCAATATCATAATCTATTGGTCCATTAGTCCATTAGCATAAGCCAAAATAAGGTTAATACCAAAAAAATCTCAAATATCACGTGGTATAATATTCTAAACTCATTTATAAAAGCTATATAATTATTTTACCTACTTGTCCTGGAATAGTGACTGTCCAATGGAACCAATAGAACTAGTCAATAGACTTGGGGTCTATTCATACCAATGGACAAATATGCCAACCCTGGTGTTGACATTTATATAAGTGTCCATAATAATTAACCAATCAAATTACATAATTTTGATTGGTCAAAAATCACATTTTTCGTGAGAGCTACATACCCGGGCAATTGATTTACATCAGCCAATCAGATAAAAGCTTCCTATGATATGTAATATGAAATCAAAACAAATTAGTCGCATTAGATTTGAATTAGATATGTTGTTTTAGCTATTTTTTTTTTTTTTCTTTTTATTACTTTTTTTTTTCTTTATTTATTTTTTTTTTCATTTTTTTTGTTTTTTTTTTAAATTTTATTTATTTATTTATTATTTATTATATTTTGTACTTTTTATATTTTTATATTTTTTTTTATTTTTTTTAAATTTATTATTTGTATTTTTTTTTGTTTTTATTTGTCTTTTTATTTTTATTTATTTATTATTATTTAATTATTATTTCTTTATTTTATTTTTGATTAAGCTAATATATATTATTTTTATTTGTGTTATATATAAAGCTTGCACTGAATTATGAATAAAAACTAAGTAGGTGTTTTGCCAGGTTATTGGATATGACATATATAACTATTTATTTATAAATATATTTAATAATAAGGTTTACTGATTTCTGACAAGGAAGAAAATTGGTTATATATCTTCTTTATTGATTTAATCAACTTATTTATTTATTTATTTTTTTTTTCTTTTATTTTTTCTTTCTTTTTTAGTTTTTGTTTTTTTTTAAAAAATTTATTTTTATTTATTTATTATTATTATTATTATTTTATATTTTTATATTTTTTTATTTTTTTTCTTTACTTTTTTTTTACATTTCATTATTTGTATTTTTTTTATGTTTTTATTTGTATTTTTATTTTTATTTATTTTTATTTATTTTAATTTTATTTATTTTATTCTTAATTAAGCTAATGTATATTATTTTTATTTAGATTATATATAAGGCTTGTATTAAACTATAAATAAAAACTAAGTAGATGTTTTGCTGAATTATTGGATATGATACAGTATATATAACTATTTATTTATAAATATATCAGTCAACTGATTTGTTACATATTTTATATATACAGTGTTTTTTATATATAAAATTAAAGCAAAAATATATAGAATTACATATAAACTTTGTTGCGATGATGTTTCTTCATTTACATATTAACTTTAAATTAAATTTTATGAATAATACATTAAGAAAAGGTGAAAAAACACATTTTAGACTGAATAAAAATATTGCAATTTAGATATAATTTAAAAATATAACTTTGTCAAAAGAAAAAATTTAGCAAATTTAAAGTAAAAATTATATATAAAATTATATTTTGAACAATCCCAATTAGGGAGTAAAAAAGAGTTATCTTAATAAAAAAAAGTTTTCTATATACTAATGTTAAAATTTTTAGTTTTTCTATATAAAACTTTTTTTTTTGCTTAAATAACCTGTTCTGACCTCTTAAGCAAATTTGTTCAGCATATAATTTTATATATTTTATATTTTACTGATTTTGTTTCTTTGAACTTTTTACTAAGTGAAAGATTGGGTTAAAGATTATACAAAAAAAATTTTTTGAAAAATTTTAATTGGTGATTCGCTACTCAACCAGAAAGAGCTTATAGTTAACTCTGTTATAAAAAATTTTAATTAATTTTGCAAAATTTTTTTTCTTTTTTCTGGGGGGTTCTGACCCTCTAGGATGTCCAGACTTGCAGATCTCTGCTTACAAACCAATATTACACAACCCCAATCTCTGTCATATTTATCTTTAACTATAT